GACAGGGTGTTGTTCAGAAACCCTGTGAGCTGTGGGATTTTCTATTTCTGTCCAGGATTTTCTTCCCTTTCTCATGGCAGAAATGCCACATACCCTTCCGAAATACCTCTGCTAAGAGGTATAACGAACCCCGCAGAGACCTGTGACCTTAAAGGTGGGCATGTGTTTGAGAAAGCAAGTGTGTGTGCGAGTGTGAGGATTGGATGAAGGACACATCATCCTCCAGTACTGTGACCTCCAACCCCACGCTCCAGCTCTGGAACATCAGTCAAGCATTCCTTTCCTGTGTGCAGCTTACCTCCTGCACCAGGTCCTGGGCCTGGGCTGTGAGTGGGATGGGCATTCCCAAGCTGCTTGTATGCAGAGCCACGGTGTTGTGGACCTGCACAGCTTTCTGGAAGTCAGCCTTCTGCAGGAGAGCCAGCACCAGCTGCACGTCCTGCTGGCTCTGTGTGTCGTCTAGGCATTGCTGCACCTGCTTCAGAGACGTCAGCAGCTCGTCCAGCTCTGACGGAATGAGCGGAGTCAGAGCATGGCCCAGCAAACAGGAGGAGACCTGATATCACTGCTCACAAACCTCACCAGACTGCAGCAGTTACAACACAGGTGATGTAAAGCCCAGAAATTCTTAGAAAATGCTTTTCTTTGCCTACTATCCAGTAGCCTCCTATGGCGCTTTTCCACTGCCACCAAGAACCGAGCCGTAGCACGAACTGACGGTTTTCCATTAGGAAGTATGAGAGCTGTACCTGAGCCGTAACCATGCCGACATGGTCCTGCTTACTAGCAGGGCTGAAAGGTGACCAAACCGAGCTGTTTGCATCACCACCATCTGATTGGTCGAAATGCATGGAGAAACCAATGTTCTGCGTATGGACTATCTGAAGGAAAAAGCGTATATTCAATATTCATTATTAGTAGTATCACACATTGCGATGTATTGAGGCATATCCAATAAATCAGGACTTGAAGATTTCGATCCTCCTACTTAAAAAAGTACTATAGAACAGTTGAATGGATTCATAATGCAAATTTATGCAAGAAAACGCAACATGTTTTCCACTAGCGTCTAATGCTAACATAACACAGCGATTCTCACAGACAGTTATAGCATAAATTAGCACACTGTAAAAAAATAATTGCACATAGTAAATCATGATGTACACCATGTGAACAGTAAATAAGCATCTCTTTGGTTTTACGTTACTGTCACTCTCTAAACCCGGGAAAGTCTTTACCAAACCGATCCTGCTGAAGTGGAAAACCGACGCAAGCTGGATCTATGCTGTAACCAGTGTCTCTTTGTGGTATGCCTCAGGTACGGGTCGGTCCCTGTATGCCAGTGGAAAAGTGCCACTAGATAATCTAGTCATTAAGTTTTGTGGTCTGCAACCTTTGATGGCGTGAGCACAAAATGCTCACGGCATCTAATTTCTGGGATTTTTGTGTTGACATTTCAGGCATTTTTAGGTGCCAAAACCAAAAAGTCCAGGAAAAAGAGGAAATATGGTCACACTACTAAGTGTAAACCACCACCATACCACGGCTAATATAAACTTATGCATGTAGGGACTGAGAAACACAGACTTCTGTATAATTACTGATGCTCTGCACCTGTTTATCTATATGTAAGGTGGCTTACAAAGGAGGAAAGGATAAATCACCAGAGTAACACAAAGAAAAAAATCACAATGCCTTCCTTTTCTGGTCAGTTTTGTGTGTTGCTCTGTGTACAGGGCGTTGGGTGTTTTCACATCCATGTTCCTCCCCAATTAACACTGTTCTGGAAGCTTCCCCCCCTCCACCACGCACAGTACGCTCACCCAGTGGTGCTGCGAAAGCTCCTGGATCCTGGGTCCCCTTCTTAGCCCCGGTGTGCCCCTCTAAGGCATCGAAGGTGGGATTGTCGATGCCGACCTTGGGCTTTTGGGAGAGCTTCCTCAGTCTAACTGAGGCATTGAGCTCCAGTTCCTGCATAGGCCTCTCTGCCTCCCCTCTCCTCCTCAGCTCCTCCTGGGGGCACTTTATCTTCTCCAGTTGAGTGCCGTGCCATGTGGGCAGGGTCCCCAGATCCTCGGGACAGTCAATCCCCACTTCGCTGTCCCACCCCAGCTCATGCCAGCCCTTGACCCTACCCCTGCTGTTCTCATTACCCACAGGTCTGTCTGTCACGTGCCGGTTGATGTGCACCGTGGTCATCCGTCCTCCCTGGCCTGATCCCGAAGACGCTGTGTTTGGTAGCTGCTATGAGCAGCTATTTCCGAAGCACCTCTGGGGGGCAGCCATGATTCTCCAGCTCAAGGAAAGGCTCCTGTTTGAAACGGGCAGCACCCCTGCGATAAACAGAACCTTAAATGTAGCTTTGCTAGAGTATCAGAGGCACGGTGTCACTCCTAACATTGTAGGAAGTCTGAAGGCATAACAGAGCAAGTGTAAATAATTGCCCTGATGTCACACTCCCCCAATACCAGGCTTTTCTCGATGGAACTGCTGTTCCCCCCAGCACCCCGACAGAGAAGCAGCAAGGAACAAGACTGACCCTGTGAGTCAACAGAAGCTAAACCAGCTGCATTCAGCAGCCAAGTGGTAACCAAGAGAGCTGGAGGAGTAGACCTGGGGGGGGGGGTACACGGGAAGCCAGGGAGGCAGTCAAAGGATTACTGTAAATCTCCCTCCCCCCTGCCAAATCAGACAGAATTTTGCAGCAGTGTCACGTGAGTCAAATCTCAGTTATTGTATACACCCCCCCCCCCTTGCAGACACAGACACACTATCCTAGTCATAAGATAAAGGGAAAATTAGCTGTTGGTAAGTTTAACTGATGTTCTCAAGTCCTTCTTATGGATGTGATGCAGAGCATGGCCAGCCTAACATGCCCATCTCCAGGCCACTGCATCCCCCCCCACCCAACACCCAGCCAGGGCAGGCGGACCCCTGCTCCTCTCCAGGCATGGAGTCAATGGTCTACGAAATAAATGCTGGAGCATTCAGCCCAGACTCTGAAAACCCCCGCATTCCTCTCTCCCTTTCATTTCCTTTATTCCTTCGATGGCTCCTCCCACTCCCACCCCCCATCCTGTAAAGGATTCAAAGCCTCCCCCCCCCCAAATTGTGTTTTTGTTTAGGTCATCAGTGTAGTGCGTCCTGCTCTGTTTCCAACTTTGAGGGACCTGACTCTCATTCCAACAGAGTCAGTGATTCTAACCACATTAAACATAACGAGGACATGATCCCATCATGTGACTTACTCACTAGCTGTGTTGGGACCTGTCCTTAAATTTATTGCATCACAGGTGCCCTCAGTTGTAACATGTTATTTATTTAGAAGACGCTTGTACCCAAAGCGACGTACGACTGAGTAGGCAGGGTTGGCCGGACCCCGGAGCCCCTGGGGGTTAAGGGCCCTGCTGAGGGGCCCACTGGTGAATTCACCCTGCTGACTCACGGATTTGAAATGGTGACTTTCTGATCACAGGCGCAGTGTCCCGACACGCTGAGCCACACACCACACTCCCGTTTTTTGGCATGCACCCCCAGCAACGCCAAGCAAGGGCAGCACCATCTTAGGCCGGCCAAGCCTGAGCTCTTTCCTCCACCCCCCCGCTTCCTCATTCTAAAGCAGCTTAAATGAAGGGTACGTCACCAGAACAGCAGCTCCAAGCTGCACAATGGCAGCATGACCTCCAGCGGCCCCCGTCTCAGATTCATTCATCGCTCTGATTACTCAAAGCGGAATGATTGTGGTCCTGCTGCAAGCTACAGAAGTGATGAACCTCCACCAGGCCATGGTGGGGTGACAGTAGTGGTGGTGATGGCGCTTTTTGGTACCAAGAGAGCAGAATGCCCAACCCTCCTAGGTCAAATTTGAGTCAAGGAAGACTTGAAATCATAAAATAGATGCGACTGCTTTGGTCTGAAAACAGCTGCTTTAAAACTAATAAGCGCAAACAAAAATGCTTTATTTGCTCTTTGCAAGCTGCTTTAGACATTGGAATGATTTTCTTTGCTGACTGCATCTTGCTTTCCATAGCTTGGGGGTCACAGTGCAGGGTCAGCTAATGTGCAGCACTCAAAAGACAGGGGAACAATGAGACAATCCTGGGGGGGGGCGGCTGTTTTTTGTGTGTATGGGCCTGTCATGGACAGCATGAAGGACGTGAAGAGAGGGGAAGAACATCCACCAATCACCGGGGCGGGAAACTCTAGGGGGATCCCGGCAGAAAGTGCACCACCTGCCCCCCATCACGGGGCTAACAAGATAATTATGTCTGGCACTCTCTCTCTCTCTCCCCTCACCCCACCACCACCACCACCACCACCACCACCAAAACCTACCTCATGGGATTTTTGTTACACATAAAGACACAGGGCTGAAAAACACCAAGGCAGCAACAGAGCCATCGGTCACCCAGGGCTTAAGCCAGGGGTGTCCAACTCCAGTCCTGGGGGGCCGGGACCCTGTGTAGCTTAGTTCTTTCCCTGTTCCACCATAAATGATTCAGCTCAACAGCTGCGTGGTAATTAGCACAAGGAGTTGAATCAGGTGTGTTAAATCAGGGGAAACCCAAAAATGTGCAGGGCTCCGGCCCCCCAGGACTGGAGTTGGGCACCCCAGGCTTAAGCAATGCTTGAGTGCCTGCTGAGTGCAGCTGCTACCACCGGGGGGCACTGGTGTACAGCAAGGACATCCTCCTTTTGAATAACGGCTGTCTGCTATGGCTGGGGAAAGAGGAGAAACGCAAAGGCGCCTCGCAAAAAAACATTTTTTAAAAATCATACTTAATCTAGCTCTGCATTCTGGACCAAGAAGCTGGGGAAGGAGGCTATAAAACTAACAACCAGTGTCCCCTAGGGCTGGAGTGCAGGTGTCAAATGCTGGTGGAAAAGGTAAAGCAGGATGCAGAGCTGACAACATCCCTCTCTGGAAATACCGAGTGATTAGCCCCAGATTTTATTACACTCACAATACATAAGACACTCAGTTCACCATTCAACTTTGCTTCATAAGTTCAGACTGATGAAGGTTCAGTTCAGCTTCTGATTTATTCTTAAGTATAAACTTGTGCGTCAGTGTCCACTATAAATATCAGAACGACCTTCACTTCATAAATGCCAGACATTTCATTACTGGCATCATTTATGAATTATTCCTAACACCAATATCTACAATACAAATCATGTGAGCATAGCTGTTCAGTATCCAGCTCTTTTGATTATAAAAGTGATAGTAAAGGTGCTCAAAATTAAGGTTAGCCCTGCACAAATCTTGCCACAAAACCTAAGGTTTGGGTACGAAGCACCCGATCTTCCCAATTCCCCAAACAGCCCTTATAGTCATGGCAGTATCTTGGAAGAATGGCAATGAAGTGACACACACATGTAGGCAGGGAAATATGGAATTTGAGAAATGGACTCCTGCTGGCTTCAAAGGAGAATGACCCAATACAGTTGTCATTCTAGCACTCCAGATTGTCACATTCCTGCACTCCAGATCACAGCCTGAGAGCTATGCCATACGTACCACCCAAGAGAGAGGGACACTCAAATGCCCCGTTTCAGTCCACTTACAGGGAAAGCAAGAGAAGTTACAGTAAAGTTGTTAAACTTACAAAATGACAAATGATAATCCCTTTTAATGATAATTGATAAATATAGGTGTGTATGTAAAAATTCTGCAGCATGTTAACAGAAATGGACTATAATATGTCATCCTACAAACAGACTCGCGAGTCTCCTTATCATTACTGTGTTTCTTAAATGTCTGATGGGAGAATTTAACAAACACCTCCATGCAGAAAATGCTCAGATTATCCTGAAAATTCATTATCTGATCAGGAAGACCTGGCGTCTTTGGAGCTTCAGTACAGATATGCCAGATCCACTGTGTTTCGTCACTGCATCTGCCACTGCATCTAATCTTCAAAGAAACCTTTTTATCCCTGACACTTCAGCACTACACGTTTATTGGGAAAATGTCTCTGTGACTGGCTTGAGGGTGAGGATTGTCTTAAACGTCTCTCTGAAACGAAGATGGGGGGCGGCTGGGGGTGCACCTGCACCCTGAAAAATCAGACATCCGTCTGCGTGGCTCTTGGGCATCTAATCCAAAGCAATTCAACTCCAGAAACATCATTATTTCAAGAAGAGCAAGCAAGGGATCAGGGAATATTTACCATATTCGTAATTAGATGAACACGGTAAAACTGGCCATCGCACTCATGTGTGTATCTCGTACAGACTTCGGGTTATTTTCAATGAGAGCTGGCACATTTTTATAGTATTAAAAAGTCCAACTTGTTTTTACATATGACATTTGAAAAGTCGAGAGAAAAGTGTTCTGTTAAAATAAAAGACACTTGCGCTTCTTTGCAGTTGAGATTTAGGCTACGGTTGAGTTAGATGAATCGGAGTATGTGTGAAAAACTTGGAAATCTACTGAAATTTCAACCATTTCCCCAACCGTGTTAGTTTAGGCTAAAGCACGTGACTCGAGTTAGACGAGTACAGTGATAGAACGGTAATTATTAACAGCATAGACGGACGGGGAAAAGATTGATACTGAACGCTTCAATAAAATATACCATTTGTTAATTAGCTTTAAGTTTTTGAACATTAGGCTACTACCACACCTGGTTTTACTTCAAGTAAAAGGGTTCAATTGAAACACATAGAATTACCACAAAACATCTCAGCGACCACCTGAACAGGAAAGCAAAGAAGTAACTTCAAACGCGGAGCTGCTGCCGTAAACTTCCGATCCGTAGATTGATCGGTCGTTACTTGAAACATTAGCCTACTATACTTACATGTATCTGGTAATTATCTGCAATGGATATCGATTTGATCCTGGTAGTTATCCATACCGCATTCCTCCACTTTTATATTTTATACTTTATAGATTCATTATAGCAGTGACTCTGCCAGATGCCGCCTGGCCATGCTCTCCTATGTCTGGATAAGTTCAGGGATCCCAAGGAAATGCATAATTGAACTGGCTACTCACCCCTTTGAGGAAACGAGGAAGAAATGACTAGTATTTCTGTATTTTAAGCAAACTTTTCCTTAGTATTCAAAGGAAAAATTCCGCATCGCCAGCTTTGGTGCTATTCTTCTCCCTGGTCGGATTAGTTTGGGACCAGCCCGCAGACGCTGCTCTGGTCGCTCCACAGCGCCCCCTATCATTTTTACAGTTTGAACGCGGCACGGGTAGAAGCACATTACCCCTTACAGTACTCAGCCTAGGGGAAAAAGATACATGTTTCTGTCTTTAGGTGAATGACCGATATTTCTAATTTCCACGAGACTCGTATTTTTTACCTTTTCCACCCCTCGGTTTTTCCATTTGTTTATCCAGCTGAATTACAATCTTTTCATTTTAAAGGGGCAGTTCATCCCACAATTTAAAACCATTTTTCAGATATGCTGTAGTGATATTTATCCATCTAGACCAGGGGTCGGCAACCTTTTTAAAGCAAAGAGCCATTTTTTCTAAATGTCTGACCCACTATTTACAAAGAACCGCAATGGGCAGAGACGGGGGTTTGAGATACGATTTTTAAAATGTGATATGGGTAGGCCTATATATGCATTTACCACAAAAAAGTACTTACAAAAAATAAATTAAACCAATTTCACTCGGACACGTAACAGGGCAAAGGTAACTAATATTACAACACATTTCAGTTCTTTAGCGATAGTCTTCACTCTCATCCCTTCTTTCGTTCGGCTCTGCAGCCGCCAGCCCTTCACTCTCCACTTCACTACTGCTGTGCTGACGAGCAGTGCAAATGTAGTCACAACTCAGCTGGCTATAATATGTAAATCGGAGAAAATATAATATTTTTTTACGAAAACATGGGAAGGCGTAGTGACGATTTACTGCAAAAAGTAGATGGAAGAATTAGGAATCCCAATAATCGTTGAAGCGTACATCCAGCCTCAGGCACTGAAGAAAATTGAAAGCACACCATTTGACCGAAGACGTAATCTCGTCATAGAGAATGACTTTGAGGAAGATGTAAATCAGCGGTGGCCAATCTTATCCGCAAAGGGTCAGTGTGGATGCAGGTTTTTGGGGTAACCTTTAGGTCAGCTATTCAACCCCAGGTGTGAGGACTCCTCAGCCAATCAGTCCTCTAATTAGTAATATAATTAGGGAGCTGCAACGAAAACCCACATACACAGCGGCACTTTGCGGATAAGGATTGGCCACCCCTGATGTAAATTATACAGTTAAGACATCACAGAAGCGCGCGACGGACCGCTTCATTCACATAAAGCTAAAAAAATATCTAAATGAAAAATAATAATATTAACACATAAATAAATCATTTATATTTACGAATGCATTATCATAATATGTTAAGACATGAAAATGTGAACGCGCTTATCGTTCTGAGAAGAGCCGCAATCACGTGGTCAAAGAGCCTCATGTGGCTCGCGAGCCGCAGGTTGCCGACCTCTGATCTAGACTGTTGTGGTGAGAGTTGCTTAGCTTTGGAGATAACCGTAGAAATATCAGACTTCTCTCGTATATAATGGGACTGAATGATATTCTTTCTCTGCTGATTAAAGTGCCAAAATACATTTAAAATATTCAATAGCAATGTCTCCTCCCAAAAATAATTGACCCGGTTACTTTAGACGACAGACCACAGACCTTGTAGTGAGCAGTTTCATTTAGGAACTATTTTCTATGGGGCTATTACTGTAGCAAAATTATTTGCAAATGTGTGTGGAGTACGCATTTACAAATTCTTTTATATATCTACAAATCTGATTACCTACACACGGGTTGAGATACAGTCACACAACTCTCTATACACATTTGCAAATAATTTTGCTACAACAAATAGCCCCATAAATAGCCCCATAATTTTCTTTCTACCGAACTCCACCCACCAACCGTATAACTGCGCAGTGGATAGCACGGGCAGATAATAGATATTAACAATTTAAATGATATTTTTTTCTTTATCGATTTGTTCCAACTATATCGATATAATCGAAAAATATGTGTGCAGATGCCATGTTTAGTTACGCGTGATAATATTTCCATCCAGTGGTACCTGAGGTACTAATGCTGACATACCATGACTGGGTAAATGCTGAGTTTAGTTATGCTTGATAATTCTGCCGCCTAGTGGTAGCGGTGGTACTGCACGCCTGGTATCCCTCAGGTCATTCCAGCTCAGCATTAAATCTATCCGGTTTTCCATGTAATATTGACAGAGACGCGTGAAGCATAAGAGGAAGCAGAGAGCTGAGTTGACAGATGTTCCTCCGGTCTGCTGTGTAATTATTGGGAATGCCCATGTTGGCTTTTCCTGTTTAAACAGGAAATGAACAGCATTCCTGCTACTGAACAGTGATCCTGAAACTTGGAGCGTTTTACCCAAAGATACCATTGCCTTTCAGGACTACTTGAAGCAGGTCCTGGACATTGATCTCCAAGCACAGATTCACTTTGGACGAGTTTTCATGAAGCCAGGGTAACTGTACTGAACTATGCATAGATGAACATAATCTCTGGTCTTCATTATGGATGCTTCTGCTGTGCAAATGGTTTTATTTATTTTTTTTCTTCTTCTTCTTCTTCTTCTTCTTCTTCTTCTTCTTCTTATTATTATTATTATTATTATTATTATTATTATTATTATTATTTAGTAAATGTAATGTATTACACATTTCAGGATTCCTGTTAATTTGTAATATACCATCTTGTCAGTCATCATGCTACATCAAGAAATAGTTTCCCATTAACAGCAGGTAAATCTATTACTGTTTGCTCTTTTCCACTGCTACCAGGAACCGAGCTGTACCTGACTAATACTGCAAACTGCCAGGTAACACCCTGTCCTCCATGATGACCTACCCAGGCTTTGTGCACTGGAGAAGCCACTGCAGCTCTGCTATGACACAACACAGGAAATAGTAGGTTACCAGTGACTGGCACAGAGCTCGACTGGCGCAGAGCTAGATGCCAGGGGCTGCTTCTGGCAGTGGGAGAGGTCATCGCCCCTCATTGGGTAGCTACCACCTGCTTTGAGCTTCACAGCCCCCAGCCAGTCGTTGTCTCACCACATTCACCACAGTTCACTGGGTGTGAGGAGTTTCGGGTGAAAACCGACAAGCATATTGACAACTGCACACCAAGAAGCAGGAAGATGGGAACTTATACCCTGAAGTTGTGCACTTGGAATGTCAGGACAATGACACCAGGTCTGTACGACAACCTACAAAAATGTGCAGCATTCACAAGACTACAGCTATTGGTATGGAATTGAGTAGACTAAGGATGGATATTGTCACCCTGCAAAAGACCAGGGCCCCAGGATCAGGATCTGTGGGAGAGAAGGATTTTTCCTTTTTCTTGCAGGGAAAGCCTTCTGATTATGTCAGAGAACATGGAGTGGATTTTGCAGTCAGGAACAGCCTGCTGGGATGTATTGTTCCACCCACTGAGGGAACTGAGCAAATCTTGTACCTCCAGCTGAACTCTTCTTTAGGAACTGCCAGATTAATCAGTGCTTATGCACTAGCCCACTTCCTCGTCAGAGGCAAAGGACAAGTTAGACAATGACCTCAGCTGTCGTGCATAGGACTGGGGAAGCAGCAGCCAGAGCTGAGGAATCGGATAGACTAGGGATTTATTTAGCAAACAACACGGGACACGAGGCAAAGCAAAAGACGGACGTCACCACATTAGTGACTGGACTGGGGAAAACATAGCTATCGCAGACTTAAATACATTGGACTAATCAACAACAAGAAGAAACAGCTGGTAAGCACAGGGATTCCACACGAGGTAGTGAGGGGGTTTGGCACACGGGAGGATTGGACGAGCAGGGCATGACATAAGCTCTTCCATCAGAATAATCCCTGAAAACAAACCTCTATTCATCTTAGGTGACTTTAACGCCAGAGTCGGCACCTATTACAACTCCTGGCCTAATTGATTGGGTCGCTTTGGCATTGAGGGATGAATGACAATGGCCAATGCCTACTGGAGCTCTGCTTCCATCATGGTCTCTGTGTGACTAACACATTCTTCAACATGAATTTCCAGCATCAAGTCTCCAGGAGACATCCTTGATCCTAGCACTGACACCAACTTGATCTAATTTTGACCTGGTGCTCCAGCTTGCCCAGTGTTATGCTGACATGTAGCTACTAGAGTGCTGATTGTGATACTGATTACTCCCTGTTATGAAACAGCATGCAAAGAAAATGTACTGCTTGTCAAGGATATTTTCTACAACACTGCCATGTCCACCTTTGACAAGAAGACCAACAAGTCAGCAGACTGGTTGAGGCCCACTCCGAAGAACTATTACCTTATGTCAAGCAGAAGAGACATGCACTTGTCGCATATAAGGCCAGCCCCAATAAATGGAACCTGCAGATTCTTCGTGCTGCTTGCAGCAAAGTTCAACAGTGTTAGGCAATGCGCCAAGAACTATTGGCTCCAGCTCTTTTTTCAGATACAGATTGCTGCTGATGCAGGCAACATCAGGAGGATGTTCAAAGGAATCAGGCAGGCTCTGGGACCAACACCGAGGAAAACTGCCCCTTTGAAATCTGTCACAGGTGAGATAATCTGGGATTGGGCACAACAGATGGAGCGCTTGGTCGGACATTACTCTGAGCTGTATTTCAGAGAGAATACTGTCACTGAAGACACCCTGAATGCCATCGAGTGTCTGCCCATGCTGGAGGAGCTCAACAGAGAACCAACCTTTGATGAACCTGGAAGGCTCTGGATCGTCTAGCCCCTGTCAAGGCACCTGGGGAAGACGGCATCCCTGCCAGTGTCTAGAAGTGCTGCAAAAGAATGCTTAATACTGAGTTGTATGAAATCTTTTATCTTTGTTGGAGAGAAGGGGCAGTGCCAATAGATATGGGAGACACCAACATGGTCACACTGTATAAAAGCATGGGCAACAGGAGCGATTGTAATAACTATAGCGGCATCTCACTCCTTAGCATCGTTGCAAAACTATTTGCTTGGGTTGTTCTGAAGATTCTACAAGTACTAGCAAAGAGAGTCTACCCAAAATTGCAGTGTGAATTCTGAACCAAAAGATCTACCTTCAACATGATCTTTTCCCTCAGACAGCTGCAGAAGAAATGCAGAGAGCAATGGCAGCCCTTCTTCATAGACTTCTTAGACCTCAAGGCTTTTGATCTGGTCAGCAGAGATGGTCCGCTCAAGATCCTTCCCAAGATTGATTGTCTGCCCAAGCTCCTCAGCATCACCAGGTGTTTTCACACATACATGCACAGTAGTTTACGGTGGGTCAATGTCAGCTAAGTTTGCTAAGTTTACTTGAACAGGGCTGCGTTCTTGCACCAACACTATTTGTGATCTTCTTTGCCGCTCTGCTGAAACACGCATTTGGATCTGCCACAGAAGGCATATACCTCCGAACCAAGGTGCAATGAAAGCTCTTTAACCTTTCCAGATCAATAGCTAAGTCAGTTGAAATTCAGTTGAAATGCCTGTGGGACTTCCTCTTTGCTGATGATGCAGCAGTTACCAGTCAATCAGCCGAAGACTTTCAGCAGCTTATCAGCTGTTCCAATGAAGCTTACTGAAACTTAAGCCTCACCATCAGTCTGAAGAAAACCCAGGTCATGGTACAGGACATGGATATTCCACCTGATATTAGTATATCTTACTGCGAACTAGACATTGTCCATGTCTTTGTGTATCTGGGATCAACAATCTTAGATTCACTATCGCTTGATAATGAGCTCAACAAACGCATTGGAAAGTTAGCTACCACTATGTTGAGACTGACAAAGAGAGTTTGGACCAATGACAAGTTGACAGAGTACACCCAGATCAAGGCTTACAGAGCTTGCATTATGAGTACCCCTCTGTATGGCAGCAAGACCTGGACATTACTTGCCCAACAGGAATGAAAGCTCAACACTTTCCACGTGCAATGTCTCTCAGGCATATTGAACATCATGTGGCAGGACAAAGTGCCAAACAACACTGTCCTGAAGAGAATCCCTAGGATGTATACCCTGCTGAAACAGACGCATGTGCTAGCTCCGCCACGTAGTGACGATGGACGATGACTGGATTCCCAAGGGTCTCCTCTATGGAGAGCTGGCAAGGGGAAAACGTCCCACGGGCAGGACTCAGCTATAGTACAAAGATGTCTGCAAGAGGGATTTGAAGGCTTTGGCCAATGACCTGTATAACTGGAAAGGTGTAGCCTCAGAACGATCAACTTGGAGACAATAGGTATCATCAAAAAAGGTATCATCGAGTTGAAGAGACACTTGCCCTGCAGACAAAGAGGTTTAGGAAAAAAACCCAATAACTGTCTGACAGACTAACATCCAAATATTCATATGTGCTCATTGCATGATTGTCACTCTCACATTAGCCTGACCAGCCACCTTCGACGCTGCAACTGAACTAGCATGAGAACCTTCATCCAGTGCAACTCCATAATCTCCTGAGACTGATGGATGCCTACTACTGTGATGCATTGATGCATTCCCAATAACTTGGAACTTGAAACTTCCTACTTTAAAAAGTACTATAGAACAGCTGAAAAGAATGGATTTGTAATGCAAATATAGACAAGCAAATGCTAATTCCGCTAGTGTTTGATGTTACCATAACATGGCAATTCTCACAGGCATGCTAGTGGAAATTATCACATAGTAAATCATTATGTACATAATGTTGCATTTTTTGGGGGTTACATGAATTTGGACACTTGAATAACTAAGATCTCCAAAGTATGATGCAGTTGAACACATGTTTTACTAGTTGTTTATTACATCCATCCATTTTCCTCGACAACAGTGTGCTTGGAATCTATCTCAGAACTCACAGGGCACAAGGCTGGAGACTCCCAAGATGGGAAGTCGGTTCATCTCAATACACAAAGACACCTTATGGGTAACTCAGAGTAAGTCTTTGTACTGTGGGAGGACACCTTAGGATCCATGACTCACAGTGCTACCCATACAACTTCACTGATGAACCAAAACCATAAAACTGACCTCAAAACACAGCTCTAAAGCAAGACGTTATCTGCTGAAATAAAGAACCATATGCATTGGCTTACCTAGGAAAGAAGAGAGAAAAAAATGAATAGAAATAAAAGGATCTGTTCTCGACCCATAAATAGAATTCATGGACACCATGAGCAGACTTTGGACTTTTTATTGGGATAACAAAAAATATTCAGATTCTTTTTTTTTCATTAATAAAAAAAGAAACCCCACAAGGAATATTTTTTACATAATGACCAAGAATGTTTATTATTTAGTCTTCATCAGTTTCAGTATCATTACAGAAAACGTTATAGTACAGAGTTTTCAATGTCTCCTCATGATGTAATTTCTTTAGGAGTGCTGGTCACAGATATCTGTACAATATTATTTTTCTGTACATTTCACGTGTAAGTTGATTTAAAAAGGCTGTCAGCACTTAAAGAAGCTGTTTTTTTCTTGTTTGATCAAATAAAAGCCCCCATGGGGCATCGCTGTACCTGGTCAGGTGACTTTAGGGAGGTTTCTGGGTTTGGGCATCCTGGCACATGACCTCCCTACCCCCTGCTCTCGGCCCTCCCCCCCCCACACGCATTTGGCACTGTGCACATAAACACAACTCACGAGATAAACGACAAGCAAAGCCTTTTGTGGAGTGGTTATGGAGCACACTAAGAAGGGAAACATAGGCGCGGAACCTAAACCACTCGTAAGAAAGGAAGTAGGATGGACTCTTGGGCATCGGCAGTCGTCCTACATGGTCTTTTTTTCATAAATGTCTTCTTTAAAGATGAGAAAATAAGACGTTTGCATTTTTTCTGGCAGGCACCTACAAATCTCTATTAAAATGCTACTGCTATACTGGTCTAGCATTGAACACACAAAGCAATTGCAATGAAACAGAACAAAGTTGTCCTAGCATGATAATAATAATCATAATAATAATCATAATCATAATTATATTACAGAATAAATCTTTTTAAGATCTTTTTAACTTCAAAAGTTATACTTTCTTTGAAATGTTATGATCTTTATAAGTAATCATTTATTTTGTGTTCAAGACGTAAACTATAATTGACCAACATTATCCAAATCAATAAAAACTAGCTGTGCCGTTGCATATTACGGAATAGTCAATGATATGTGGACATGCACCATGGACCAGCCCTCTTTCCTTGCTTCCTCCCTCCACTTCTGCCTCTCTCGTCGCTCTGTCCCTTTAAGATGACATCATAGCCGCCCTATCACCATGACGTCCACCACCTCGCCCTTGTGCAGCTCCACGTATTGCTCTGTTTTGGGAGGGAGCATCAGGAGCCCGTTGGCGCTGCGCATGCTCATCAGTCGACTGCTCATCTGGTTCCCTGTGGGGAGCATCAAGGGATACCTGTCAGTACTGTGTTACAGGCAGCTGTGACACATTCCCATCAGTACTGCACTATGGGCGGGTGCGACACATCCTTGTCAGTGCTGTGTTACAGGCAGCTGTGACACATTCCCATCAGTACTGCACTATGGGTGGGTGCGACACATCCCTGTCAGTGCTGTGTTACAGGCAGCTGTGACACATTCCCATCAGTACTACACTATGGGCGGATGCGACACATCCCATCAGTACTGCACTATGGGCGGGTGCGACACATCCCTGTCAGTGCTGTGTTACCGGCAGCTGTGACACATTCCCATCAGTACTGCACTATGGGCGGGTGCGACAAATCCTTGTCAGTGCTGTGTTACAGGCAGCTGTGACACATTCCCATCAGTACTGCACTATGGGCGGGTGCGACACATCCCATCAGTACTGCACTATGGGCGGGTGCGACACATCCCTGTCAGTGCTGTGTTACAGGTGGGTATGACATATTCCTGCCGGTGCTGATGGATAGGTAACATACCATCCTATCAGTACTGCATTACAGGTGGGCTGAATACATTCCCGGCATAGTTTAAACCACAGCATCAGAAGGAATCCTGGGAAATCCCAAGCACTCTCCTTATGCTGCAGTGGTCAGATAAAAGTCCTTTGTACCAATAGGACTCTTTGTGTACCTGTGCTCTGTGCCCATGGCAACGGTTCTTGGTGGTGCCAGGTCAGGATGCAGCGATGGTACTCGGGCCGTGGGTCCAGTTTCACATCACAGGAGAGCTGTGCAGGAAGAACCCACGGAGATGACCTCACATACAACAGCAAAACGACACCCCACTTCGCCGAGGTCCTGACATTCAATCAGAAGTCTACCCCTACCCTGGCTTTTATGATGGTGGGTCGAGGGTCCAAAATCCCTTGCATCTTCCTCAGGGCAGGGATGACGAAGAGGTTACATGTGACGACGGCAGACACTGGGTTACCTGGAAGAGAAAGGAGGTGGTGGAAGGCCAGCTGGGAAGGATCTGACCCCCCACTGAAGCACCGTACCCAGACTGAGAGTGAATCAGGCACCCACTCTCTGGATGCTGGAAAGAGGCATAGGCAAGCGGGTGGTGCTATACTGAGAGGCAGTTCATGTGGCTGGGAGAAGGCGGGCTTGTCTGGACCGAGTATCTGGTAGCCAAAGGGGCGCTATGGAGGCCTCGTCAAAGTACAATGAAACAATTAAATGTGCAAACTAACTGCTACTCTATAAATGCCAGCCAAGAGTACAGAGAGCGACAGGATTCCGACACACAGACTACAAATGTTATTTCCAACTCCAAGACCGAAAACTAAAGACAGAATTAAAAAACGGTGCTATTTTCTCTTAGGGCACAAAACGTCTAACACTTCTGCAGTGGAAAGTAACAAAGTACTTTACTTTGCTGTTGTATTTAAGTCCATTTTTCACATATCTGTACTTTACTTAAGTAGATTTAGCCGTGGAGACTTTTGACTTTTACTCTACTACATGTTACAGCAAATATTTATACTTTATAATATACTCCTCTTTGGAATATATTTCTGAAGCTTTTATTGTAAACTACCATTTCATGTTTTAACTGTTTAAATTGGAAAACACAGCACTATTTAATATTTAACTAAATGTATGTACAGTTCACACTTCATGCCATGTTATACGATTGCATCAGGGACTTCAAGTTCAAGTATTTTTACTTGAAACTTTAAGTATATTTACAAGCGAGTACTGACTTTTACTTAAGTAAAAAAGCCCAAGGGGGTACTTTTACTTTTACTAGAGTACATTTTTGCCTGGTTACTTCTACTGTTACTGTTGTTTGAGTACTTCCTCTACCACTGCACTTCTGAGATATCTGGCACGTGGCTCGCCACAGTCCGCTGGTAAGTGTGTCAGTAAGAGGCAGCACTGGTCTGTTTGGGTCCATGAAATAGCCAGGGGGGGCAAATGGCAGTGCCATGGGGGTGGCTGAGGCGGGGCCAGAGGCTTTAGGACGGCCAATAGGAAGACAGTCTGGACTGGAGGATCAGGAGGACTGCAGCTGCATGGGGGATGCTGGGTAATTTACGCTGATTAAAAGGCTGGGTGGGCTTCGCGGGGGGCTGGGGGTGGGGGGAGCTAGACGCCTCTGTGTGACCGGCCCTCTTACCTGGCAGCGCAAAGATAAGCTTGCGAGCGCCATCGGTGTCCAAGGTGGCGAACGTGGTGGGCAGCCTGAAAGAGAGAGCAGCAGCATCAGCAGCAGTACCCGAGGAAGGGCGACATCCTCACCCTCCCTGCCATCTTCTCTTCCTCATGCTTACACAACTGATATGTGTTTGTCTCTTTGTTTTTAGGTTTACAGTAATAGGAAAGGAAGCTTACTGACTCTCGACGATTCTGCAGGCCCTGGGATCCAGCTAAAGTCTAACAGCCAACCAAAAAGAATCATTCAGTATAGTTACCCTGGCTTCATGAAAACGCGTCCAAAGTGGATCTGTGCATGGAGATCAATGTCCAGGACCTGCTTCAAGTAGTCCTGAAAGGCAATGGCATCTTTGGGTAAAACGCTCCAAGTTTCAGGATCACTGTTCAGTAGCAGGAATGCTGTTCATTTCCTGCTTCAACAGGAAACGTCACAAACATGGGCATTCCTGATAATACACAGCGGATCGGAGGAACATCTGTCAACGCAGCTCTCTGCTTCCTCTTATGCCTCTCCGTACCAGAAACATAGACGCCTCTATGTCAATATCACATGGGAAGCCTGACAGCTTGATTAAATGCTGAGCTGAAATGACCTGAGGGACACCACACGTGCAGTACCTGTGCTACCACTATGTGGCAGAATGATCACGAATAACTAAACTCAGCATTTCCCAAGTCATGGTATGTCAGCATTAGTACCTCAGCTACCACTGGATGGCAGTATTATCACACGTAGCTAAACATAGCACCCCCCCCCCCCCGGCCATGGTATGCCAACATTAGGTGTAGCACAGTTCATCACATGAAATCCGGGATGCAGTCGGAGAAGAAACACACAGACAGCCTAATTTATTTGGCTTTGATTCTTTTTCTTTTTGTTGGGGTTTTCTGGGAAAACATGGCTACTTACTTTCTCCCCCATAGACACGCCCCCTGAAGTGATGATGACGTCAGCGCGACTGATACCCTCGTTCAGGGCATTAAGAAGGTCGTCTGGGCTGGGGGGGGGTCACACAGAAGGCAGTTATAGGTAGGGAGAAAGTGCAGAGAGATGGAGGGGTGGGCAGCAGGGGGGTCGTACTTGTCTCCGACGATGCCCAGGTTGATGGTGGGGTAGCCGTGCTCCTGGATGGTGGCCAGCAGCGTGGAGCGGTTGCTGTCGCGGATCTTCCCTGGGTGCAGGTCATCCTCGGGGTTCAGCAGCTGTGGGTAGGTGAGACGCAGGGGCATGATGCAGCGGCGACCTGCCAGCCCGGCGTTCGGACTCCTGCCACAGACCCGCCTCGCCCAGCTCACCTCGTTTCCTGTGGACATGACCGCCACCACGGGGAACTTCTGCACCTCCACCTCAGTGACGCCCACGGTGGCCAGCAGGCCGATCTCGGACGGGCCCATGTGGGTGCCCTTGGCCAGGACGCACTCGCCACGCTTGATGTCATGACCGATGGGCCTGGGGGGGAGGGGGGGTGGACCTGCGTGAACCCGGAGTGTGGAGGGCGAATGGGAAGACCCCAGCGAATGGGTTCAAACCCCCCTCCCCGCCTCGCCCCCACCTGATGTCCTGACCCGGCCGCGCCTGCACCAGGATCCGCACCTCCAGCTCCTCCGTGCCCTGGAGAAACAGACGGAGGATTTGTCACCGGATGCCCCACCCATCCTGTCCTCCCCACCCCCTCAGGCAGGATGAGCCATACATACTCACATCTTCTGATTCCCGTAGCAGCTCGGTATCCTCGACCTGGACGACGGCGTCGGCTCCGCAGGGGATGGGGGCTCCCGTGGTGACCCGCATGACCTGGCCGGGCATCACCGTGTGGGTCGGCTGCGGTGCACAGAGCACATTAGTGCAGGAGCCGCACGCACACACACCTGACACACATCTCACACACACACAGACACAATGTGGGGATTTACTAATGAAACTAAAATCCTGATTTCAGCTCCAAAAAGAGACTCCATTCTCTGTTGGATAAAGGTTGTGGGGACAGTTTTTCAGGAGTTACTTTAACATTTATGTCAAAATTTGTCTGCAGAATAACATACTTAGTCCCACACACATACATACAGCTTGAAAGAAACATGCAAATTGAAAGTGGAGAATGTGGAAAGTAGAAATCTGATCCACATATGCGCACACACACACACACACACACACGCACACACACACACAGGTTTGTAATTATATCTTTGTGGGGACTCTCCATTCATTTCTATGCGGAAAACTCTAATCCCAACATGATGACCTTAACCCCTACCCAGCCCTAACCTTAACTATAAATAACCAAACAAAATATCAGACTTTTGTCATCTTTGCTTTTTTGATTGCATACACAGATCATTGTGGGGACCAGAAAAACAACATCAAAATAACAGGTTTTATTACACAGTGGGGAACATTTGGCTCCCACAATGTAATATAAACCTAATCCACACACACACACACACACACACACACACACACACACACACACCACTGCAGCACCTCCAGCTGTGCTCATTTACATTTCAGCTCTTCAGAGAGCAGCATTCAGATCCAGGGCAGATATGCTGCTGGTTATAAACAGAGGCAGATTTGAAAATAAACAAGAGCCATAGGGCTGTGGATGTGGCCAGGTGGATGCAGGCAGGGGGTGAGACTGGTCACAAGCTGGGTGGGGGGGGGGGGTGTCACTTCAACTAGCACCTGCTCAATCTGGAAGAACTTACCTGCTCCCCAGCCTGCGACTCCCCGATGATGAAACGGTCCCCTGGCCCATCAGCAGCTGGGACAAATGCGCGGCAGAAATGGACATTAGAGCGCCCCCTGCCTCCCAGCCCCTTATCTGTCCCACAGGGCCGTACAGAGGGCAGGATTATGGAGCAGCAGATGGAGACAGTGACTATACAGCACAAATAATATATAGGTTACAGGACAAAGCCAGCCAATAGGACAAAGCTGGCCAATGGGGGCACTGCATTGTTCTAGAGCATAGAGTACAAATATAGATTCAACTGAGTGAGTGAATGACTCAGCAGTGAAATGGGGGGAGCGAATGGGGGAAGCAGGAATCTGCTGGGTCAGGCTCTTACCTCTGACAGCATAACCGTCCTTAACGGAGGCAGGGAACGGAGGCAGATTGTCTTTGGCATAGACGTCCTGTGCCAGGACTCGCCCCATCCCGTCTGCAAAGGGCAAAGGGAGGGAGGGGGGAAGGTCGTCAAAGGAGGGGGGTGAGGCCTTGCATGTGTGTGAGGTATGTCACCTCCATCTCTGGGCCGTCCTGATTTTCCCCAAATAATCATGATCACACGTAGCGCAGCTTGTGTGATGGAGCGGCCCGTTTGAGACGTGACTCATGTGGCGCGTGTGAGCTGTGCTGCCTCGTGGCCCGTTTACAGCGCGGGGGGCTAAATGCGGAGCACTGAGCTTAACATGACGTGCTGCCCACCATTCGCTCTGCCGCTGCTGGGCCTGAAGGTGCCTTTGATTACGTACTGAATGGCAGGGGCCAAGAGAACCGCACGACATGAGAGTCAACACAACCTGCCGGTGATGGGGGGCAGCCCTGTGCCAGCCGCACAGGCGCAGAGACACTCTGAGAGCTGCCACTGGGGCGCTGCGACTCAAAAAGCTGTATCAATAAGAGATGTAACCCTGAATGCGGTGTCTCTGAGAGCTGTGACTCACAGCTGCCACCATGGGAAATGGACTCTAAAATCTGTAAGAAATGTGACTCTGAATGCTGTGACCATGACCGCTGTGACTCTGAGAATTGCCACCATGGGTGCTTAAACTCCAAAAAAGTTATATCTGTAAGAGATGTGGCTCAATATGTCTTGACCCTAAGAGCTGTGACTCAGAGTTGTAACTCTGAGAGCTGCCGCTGTGAGTGCTGTGACTCTTAAAGGTGTAAGACAGAGGTGCTTAACCTGGGCATCACAACCCCTTTGTGGGTCAGGATGTAATTGCTGTGGGGTTGCGAGAGTTACGAAAACGCATCGTAAACACTGAGGACATCATTTGCATGTTAGCTCTTTGGCACCCCTACTGGTCGAGCTATGCTTCATGTAAATGTTGCCATACTTTGTCTTTGGCATAATAAAGCAGGACTGTAGCTGGGCGATATAAGTTGATATATCATTTATCGTCATATAAAATTAAAATGATAAAAAAAATGACAAACTGATAAGCTGTCGATAAGCCTTGCTTGATAGCATCCATCAGTCTATAACATGACAGAAAGGAACGCGATTCCAGCCAATTGTGTGGTAGTATTTTAAGTAAAGCACACCAAATGCGACTCTTTTAGTAATATATATGAGTCATGGGAGAGACAAGCACTCCCCATCACATCTTTTTAAAAAGGAGATGTTGTGAATAAACAAAGTAAAAAGACATCGGTTGTACAGTGGTATTTTGGCAATTTAAAGACTAACGTGCAGCAGCCTGGTGCCATGTATCGTAACTGAAATGCTGTGAACCTGTTTCACCACTTGGAGCATTGCCATCCAGAGGAACATACAGAATGCAAATACTCACAGTCACTAGGGTCTCCACTGTCAATCTGAAGAAATACGGGACAGCACCCCTTGAACTGGGGGTAAATTGTGAAATATGGGACAATTTGTGTCCTATATTGGTTCAAAATAGGACACAGCATTTAACTTTTTTCTAATGCAGGACGATCCTCTATATTTGGGATGGGTGGCCATTGGACCCAAAAGCAAGCACCAAAAATGGATCAATTCTTAGAAGGTTGTGGTGGAAAAGGAAGAGCAAATGATAATGTGGAAAAATTTGCAAAAGGGCCAAACATCAAAAAGGTACGGACACCGGTATTAGGTGGAATGTGACAAATTTTAAATATCTTGCTCTTTATGTCACAAAATAATTCATTGCCCCAAAATAGGCCAAAAAAAAAGTAAAAAACCCCACTGAAGAGATGTAACTCAGTGGTGTGACTGTGGATGTCGTGACCCTAAAAACTGTATTTGAGCTATGACTCTGAGTGTTAGAGCTGTGACTCTGAGCTGTGCAAGCATAATCAGCTTAAGTAGTGACTCTAAAGCACTGCAGGTGCATAAGTTGTGTGCAAAATACATCTCTAAGTATCTGCAGAAAGGCTGATGCATTTAAAAGATTTATTTTATTTCCAGTACATTTTACAGACAATCCCGCATTAATCACTGCATACGTGAGCGAGGTGCCTCGTCAAGGGGATTGCGCCGCAGGAGGGATGCGATCTGCATGAGAAATCAACTCAATTCTTGCGGCACACTCACCCCAGCACTTCTCAGACCGACGCAGAGGAGGCCGTTACGCCAGAGAGGCCGGGATAGAGGGTCATTACTCTACCCATCGCTTTCCATTCTGCGGCAGATAGATGGCGCCATCAGGCCGAAGGATCCCCACTTAATGACCAGCACCGTGACAGTCATTTGCTACGGGGAGGTGATGGACTGCATGGAGCAGAGATGAGGGACGCCCCAGATTGGCGTTGGAGTCCCCGGAGCTCAGGCCGCTGGAGCGAGTGGATGAGCCGAGGTGTGACAGACTCACTCCTGTGATACATGTCTGACATTTGAAGGTGGGCCATCACCAAGAACAAATCAAACACGGCGGGCAGGATAATGACCTTCTGCAGGCTGCTCCGCTCATTTCCAGGGATGGTTCCGGGGGCCCTAATGGCCACGGCTCTCGTGGAGCTGATCTCTGCTCTCGGGGATGCCTCTGGGACGCTGGCATGCCTGGGGGAGCAGGCCAGGAGTCTCGGCTTTGATCAGGAAACTCGGAGCGTCTTGTTTAAGCAGCTTGAAGTGCTGACACTGCAGTTCTTGCTGCCAGAGCCTGAGATCTGAGCTCACGCTTTGTCACATGACCAGCAAGCTAACTGAGTAGACCCCTGAACGAGGCTACTCTTCTTGTGTGAGACGTCAAGAAAGTGGTAGATAAACTCTGTCTTTCTTTTCTCTCTTCTCTGTAACTCCTCCACTTACACTCTATTCTTTCCCAGTGTGTAATGAGATACAAGAAGAAGCTGGACAGCAAGCTGAAGCAATTTATAGCTCTGGGAGTAATATATGATTGGATGATCTGGAGGTGGGCAGAGTCACCCC